AACTCTGCAGCTCGTGTACTCTCACGCACCAGGCTCCGCGACCCCTCACCATCACTCCCACCCTCGCCCGACTCCACTGGCTCCCCATCCCCGAGGATCGAATTCAAGATCCCCATCTTCACTTTCAAGTCCATCCATGGCCTTGCCCCATCCTACCTCTTTGACCTGCTGACTCCCACTCCCTCCGTTCACCGGGCTTCGTTCTGCTCCACGTCTGCCGCCCGACCTGCCCTACCATCGGCCAGGCTTTCAGCCTCTCTGCCCCCACTCTGGAACTCCATCCCACAATCCCTTCCCCTCGCTTCCTCCCTTACCTCCTTCAAGGCCGGTCTCAAGACCCTTCTCTTCGATCGTGCCTTTGTGCACCATCCCTCCCCCATGCTCGGGCCTCGACACCTGACTGTTCAGCACCTTGGGACGTCCTCCCGACGTGAAAGGCACTCTATAAATGTAATTTTGTTGTTTTCACATCTTCGAGACGTCTCAAAGTGCTTCACAGAATATACTATAAAGCGAATTGACTGTATATTTGTGGGCAAAACACGGCCACTAATTCGCACAGCAGTGTCATACAAACAGTAGTGGATTGAAGTGACCAATTTATTATTGTTTTTTTCTTGAGGGATTATTATCAGACGTGTGGAGTAAGGAAACTTGCCCAAGGTTTTCCCCTGCCAGAAATCAAACCCAGGACTCTCGCTTGCAAGGCGAGTGCTCTAACCACTGAGCTACAGGACTCCACATTGCAGTCCACATGCAACTTCTGCCATTGATTTCTTAAATACATTTGTAACAGCTTTCTATGTTTAATCTTCACATCTATGTCTTACAAGCAAAGACTAGCCAAAATGTTCCTGCTCTATGTACTTAGTATCCGTGTGACCCATTGATGCTTAAATTCAATGCCTCTACCTGACAATGAAACTAAAGATGGCATCAAAAGACCTAAATTTGGTATTTAATGGTTCAAACTGATAAGGATGATTTGATATGAGAGATGACCCCAAAAGCTTGATTTCTACTTCGATCAATTGGTAGCATGCTCACCTGTGTATTAGAAGATTATGGGTTCATGTCCCATTTCAGGGCTTTGAGTTCACCACCTCGGCTGACACTATGTGCAGTGTTTCATTTTCAGATGAAACCAAGGTCCCATCTCTGACTGGCCAGGTGAATGTTTAAGATCCCATGGCACAATTTAAGAGAAATTTAAGCAGTTTCTCCAGGTGCCCTGGCCAACAATCCCCTAGCTAAAGTGGTCATTCACTTTCCAGTGATTTGTAGGTTATGTGCAAATTGACTGTCGAGTTTACTTACAAATATACAGTTCGCATCTGGATTTCCACTTGGCTCAATCGATTGTACTCTTGGCCCTGGATTAGAAGACCATACAAAAAGCTTTTGCCTACAAATCCTCAGTCACCTATAGTTAATACTAATAATCAGTATATTCTAACCTCGGAGACAGAAGGTTATGCGATCAAGCCCTACTTCAGGGACTTTGAGCTCATAGTCTAAGCTTAACAGCGGTTTGTCCAGTGAGGCGCTGGGGAGGTTTTTGTATGATCTTCTAATCCAGGTACGAGCTGTATATTTGTAACTGAACTCGACAACCAATTTGTATGTAACCCAAAAAACACTGGGAGGTGAATGACAACTGTTGGAGGTGCTGTCTTTTGGATGAGACATTAAACTGTGTCCCCATCTGCCTTTTCAGGTGGATGTTAAAGATTCCATGGCTCTATTAGTAAATAATTTCTCCCGGTGTCCTGGCCAACAATCCACCAAATAAAATTGGTCTGTTTGTGGGACAGTGCAGATTGGCTATTGCAATCACCTACAAAATACATGGTCACTACACATTACAGCCTGAGAGATTCTATCATTACAGTTGCTATATCAAACACAAGTGTTATAGTTCTTACTATATCATCCAGTGTGAGAACTCAGTAAGCAGTGTGTTACTTATCAATAAAATACTTTTTATTTCAAGATACAAAATGCAATGGCCAGACACGGCCACGGGCAGAGACACCCGGAGACAACAGAAGTAGAGACTCAGCCTCAGTAAGCAGTGTGTTACTTATCAATAAAATGAGACCAGTGTTGACCTGTCTCAAGGGCACACTGTGTGGAGACCCAAGCCTTCCCCCTCGGGTCAGGAGACAAAGCTTCCTTGCAGTCTGATGCTGTGCGTTTACAGTGGTACTTGAACAACAACGAAATTGTGTTTATATGGCGTCTTTCACATCGGAAAGACGTCCAAAGCGCTGGACAGTTAAGGGTTTGCACCTGATCTGGGAGTTTGAATCAAGCGGGCTGCAGAGTAGGGGGCGTGAGAGGGTGGCCGAAAGCACAATCAAAGAGAAACATCTTGAAATGGGCAAGAGTGGGGATGAAATGGAGTGATTCATGATTGTGTTCCAGAGGGTGGGGCAGAAAAGCTGAAGGCCCAACCACCAACAGTGGGTTGGGCAGTGCAAAGTACAAGAGCGGGCCCACCCCCACTGAACAGAGGGAGCAGACAGGTTCACATGGTGTTGATGGGTCTCAGAGGTAGGGAGGAGCAAGGTTGACGAAGGCTTTAAAAGTGAGGACAAGAATTTTAAACTTGATCCCCTGGGGGATGGGGAGCCAGTAGAGCCCAGTGAGGATGGGGGTGATCGGCTCATGATGCTTGGTACGGAGGAGGAGACGAGCTGCAGAGTTCTAAATAATTCTGCATTTTACGGAGGTAAGCTGCAGATTATCCTGATTGTTCAGCGCCCTGGGACATCTTACTGATGTGAAGGGAAGTCCAACTCTTATTAACTTCCTGTTACTAAGGCCCACCTGATGCAAAGCACATCAAATTCACCATTTTATGAGGTATCTCCCAAAAGTCAATAAGCACCCCCTTCTCTGCCCCTCTCCACTCCTTCTTGACATTCACCTCACCCTCCCTTTCATCCAAATGGGTGAAATTCCCCAGTGGAAAGACCAGAGAACTATAGAAGTTTATAGCAGAGAAGAACAATCGGCACATCATGCCATTGCTGGCTCTTTTAAGAACCATCCTTTCAATCCCATTTACCTGCCCTTTCCCCATATCCCTGTATGTGAAGGAATACATTCTGCACCCCCACACCCCCCTACATACACACACCAGGCCTCCTAATGCCTTTCACTGCCTTTGTAGTTTATGAGCTCAAACCCAGCCTCTGGAGTGTGTAAGAAGACTTGTGAAACTCTAACTGTCCATTACACCTCATATAATGTTTACCAGCTTAACGCAAGTAAGCTTAAACTAGTATTTATCTACGTATCAAATGCAATAACAGTTTACATGTTCCATTACTGGATGCATTCAGCAGTGATGTATACGTAGACTGATTCATGTACTATTTATATATTTAACTAAGCTCCAATATATATCAAGCCACATCAAGGACTCTTCTGCTCAGCTGTTCACTACCGATGTATGTGGAAGCCATTCACAAAATGTATGCTGAATGCTGTTCAGATCACTGCTAGGCTATTTCACAGTCCAATTGGGCACAATCATGACAGTTCTTTTGGCAAGCAGATTTAACAGAACTCAACTCACAAGATCAAATGAATACTAGTTTGGATGAAGACGGCTTCGTCGGCCCTCCTGATCTCATCCCTCCAGAAGACCCATCCTATTATCCTCCCATCACAGCATCAAGCTGTTTTCTGATTTTCTGGGAGCTGTGTTGATCTTTGATGTCCTCCCAATGCAAAAGGTGAGCTTTCAGCCGTTCCTACCCCTGCTATCTGGAGCTCCATCCTAGAGTTTATTGTGTTGTAAGTTGTTGTTGAAATGTGTGAGTTTTGCTGGTTAGAATTGATTTCCATATTAAACAGGTGGGGTCCTTGGAGCTTAAGTGGGGTCTTCTTGGAGCTGAACCAACTGGCTCCAATGTGACATGATTGGCAACAGAATGTCGGAATCGAGCCAGCCCTCTGTGGTAGCCCTCTCCGTAGTCCGGTTCTTGAGTCATGCGGGTCTGCAGTATACCAGGGCATGCTGATGACAGCACGGCCAGCCAGTTCATTGGCAGGACTTGGAAAGGCAGACCAATCACTGGGGCCAGAGAATCATCCCACTGAGCTCCTTTTTATCCCTGAAAGCCAAAGCCTTATTGGGTAGGATGGTCCTAGCTGGGCAAAGTTTGCCAGACAGTGCTATTAATGGCCAGCTATGTGGTTTTAGTTGGTTAAGATTCCAGTAGTATGCCAAAGCAAACTCTGGAGTCCCCAAATTTTGCCTAATACTTTCCGGAATTAGGTAAGCAGCATCCATCCCTCTAGGGAGGGAGTGCACATTCCGTTCGAACAATCTATCTCTGGAATTTCCATGTGTAGGTGGGATGCATGGAATTCTCAGTTTGGTTACACTTAAGCTGACACCCGGCTGACCAAAATAAAACCAGGTAAAGTATAATTAATCCCCTATATTCCCTGTACTATAAAGCACACTGAATTTTTCTGCAATGCAAGGGAGTGAAACTTATGCTCTGCAAGCTCTAATGTCAGAATGCACTGTATTACCCTGTACCCCTGACATCACACGGACATCCTTTAGCTTTAGAAAATGACGCCCATTCAGCTCAGCTTAGTGTGTGTGCCACTCAATATTTTCTGAAGAGATTAGCTAAACAGTAAAATAATTCCTTCTACATAAGGAATGGTGGTGAGGGGAGGGTGGAAAGGAGGAAATTAACTCTGGAGACCCTCTACGGGAATGATTTTGGTCTTGAATACATGTGAGTTCCACTGACTTGTAATGTACAAACTCATTCCCTTCTCCCAATCTAACAATCTACATGTCCTTTGGTGGAGGAATCCGGAACAGGGAGCATAATCTTAAAATTAAAGCTTGGGCATTTTGGAGTGAAGTCAGAAAGCGCTTTTTCCACACAAAAGGTAGTGGAAATCTGGAACTCTCCCCCAAAAGGCTGTGAATGCTGGATCAATAGAAATTTTCAATACTGAGGTGGATAGATTTTTGTTAGCTAATGGTATCAAGGGATATGTAGCAAAGGCGGGCAAACAGAGTTGAGGGACAGATCAGCCATGATCTAGTAGAATGGCCAAACAGGTTTGAGGAGCTGAACGGTTCCTCTTCCTATGCTCCTGGAAGTCATTCATTGCCCAAGCATGTTGCGAAGGATAGGCTCTTACTCAAAAGCAGTCATCTCAGACACCGCCTCCACCAAGGAGCACTCTGTCTCCGTGGTCTCCTTGAGTTTGGTGATGCTGGTTTTGGCCGTGTATTTGACGGTGAATGCGTTCATGAGCCGGTACCTATAGTTTTTGTTGATGAAGCTGTAGAGGATGGGGTTAGCACAGCAATGGACCATAGAGAAGCATTGGGTCAGGTGGAGAGAAATGTACATGAAGCTCTCCAGCTCACAACTGAAGGAGATGAGGTTCATGAACCAAAGCACATCGATGAACAAGACTGTGTGGTAGGGCAGCCAGCAGATAAGGAAAATAATCACATAGACAAATATTATATTACGGCTGTTTTTGTTCTCTTGGTCGCTCGTGCTGGAGATGGCTCTCGCAAGGAGGAAATAGGAGACAGTAATGATAGGGAATGGAATGACAAAACCTATGATGATGTAGACCATCTCCATCCCAGCCATCCACTTTCGGAAGTTTTCCTCCGGGTAGGACGGGTAGCAGTAGGTCTCGCCATTGGAAGGGAGGGTGACCGTCTTCAGGAAGAGGATGTCTGGGAAGGATACCACGAGGGCAAAGATCCAGACGTACACGATGATGATCTTGCGAATCACCCCCTTCCTGCGGTCGACAGACTCGCCGACCCGCACCACCGAGATGTACCGGTCCACGCTCATGCAGGTCAGGAAGAAGATACTGCCGAAGAGGTTGACACTGAAGACCAGGTGGGTGAGCCGGCACATGAACTCACCGAAGGGCCAGCTGCCGTGCTGGACCAGCGAAGGTAGCCAGATAGGCAATGTGGCCACCATGCACAAGTCCGCAATCGCCAGGTTCAGGATGTACAGGTGGGTTTCATACTGAGTCCTCTTGGTCTTCAGGTTCACGTAGACCACCACCACATTGGCCACCAGCCCCACAATGAAGATCAAGGCATAGAAGAAAGACATGGTGTAGAGGATCGCGTTCTTATCGAAGGCGTAAGGGCAGTGGAAGATTTCCCAGCTCACACACTCCGAGGAGTTCGGCAGGCAGAAACTCTCGTTCATCGTCATGTTCAGCTCCTCCAGGAAGTCCGCGATGGCAGTCAGGTCGGAAGCAGTCATGGTGATGGAACGGCAGAGCGAGTGGGCTGTAAAACAATGCACAATGTTACCCAAAGCTTCTACATCTCCAGCCTGCAGCAGATTCTGGATTAGTTGGTTTTTGTTGATAGTGGAGCTGGGGAGATCGGCAAACAGGGCATTGGAATACTCAAGGCAATAGGTGCCGAAAGCGTGAACAAGGGTCCAGGCTGCGTTTGGTGTGAGGTACAGTCGGAGGCAGGCAATGTGACAGAGGTGGAGGAAAGTGTTCCTGGTCAAAGACCAGATGTGGTGTAGGAAGGATACACATAGTAACCATAATAATAATAATCCTTGCATTTGATATAGGCTTTGTCACGTCTTCTAGATGTCCAAAGCGCTTCACAGAATGTACTGTAAAGTGAATTGACTGTATATTTGTGGGCAAAACGCGGCAATCAATTGCGCACAGCAGTGTCCCACAAATAGTGTGGATTGAAGTGACTGATTTTTTTTTTGAAGGATTATTATCAGGCGTGTGGAGTAAGCAAACTTGCCCAAGGTTTCGCCTGCCGGGAATTGAACCCGGGTCTCTCGCTTGCGAGGCGAGTGCTCTAACCACTGAGCTACAGGATTCCTGAACCATGTACTCCTACACCCTATGTAAACAGCACAGAATGTAATACAGTCACAAACACACACATACACAGTAACCCGGTACTTTTACACACTATATAAACTGCGCAGAATGTAATACAGTCAGACACACAACTCGCGTGCACAAATTCAGAAACATACAATACACATACACACACACAGTAACCATGTACCCCTGCACCCTGTGTAAACAGCACAGAATGGACTACAGTCACACACACGAACGACACTGTTCAGACAGGGACAGCGCCTCAGATAGAGGCCGTGCCTCAGACAGAAGAAGAGGCCAGAATGTCAGGCGGGACACAAATCAGAGACCAATTCCTGCTGTAGTACAAGAACCATCAGAGAGGGAGCCACAGGCTCAGTGCCTTTCTGGTGCCTCGCAGGGTGATGTGGAACGGTTAAGGGACTTTGAGACATCCAACTGCGAAGCAGATGGTCTTCACTGAGAGCTCAGCCCAGAAAGATCCAGTATTTGCAGTTTGACAGAGCTGCCAAATCTGTTAACACTTAAACCCCAATCTGAAACTCCCATCGATATGTTCAAACAAAAACAGCATCAGATCTTCCAAACGCACTCGGCCAATTGATCCATTGCTCGGACATGATATCAATGTGACATAATTTGGGCTTTGTGTGAAATGAAAGGCGCCTCCAAATACAGCCCTGGGGGGGGGGGGGGGGGGGGCAGTCAGGTCCGGGTCTGGGTCTCAGGTCACTGTGCACCTCCTCCATCCTCAAAAAAACATTGACGTTTTGCAAACATTTTTAAGTTTCGACGTGTGTGTAAAAAAATTAAAGGCAACACCTTATAGGGGTGAAGGGGGGTCTACAGCACCGTCACAACACATAACTAACGTTATTAATATTATCATCACGTCGCCTTATCACGTCGTCTGGACGTATCAAAACGCTTCGCACGATTTACCGTAGAGAGGGGTTTGACTGTGTGTGGGATCGGGAGACGGTCTCAGGGCGGTGTCAGGTCCCGTTCTGTGGAGAAGAGAATTCCACTCAGAGACTCGCGACGTTAAAGCTCAGGCGCTGTAGCAAAGCCCAAGGCATTGCGGAGGGTCAGGTTCACTGATTCCTATTGATATTTAACCCTCCGCTGTCCCCGAGTCTTGAATCTGAAAGTGCAGAACATTAAAAAAAAGTTATAGTGGAGAGCGATCGGGGAATTCAGTGCAGTTCACCTCCGTCCAACACACAGCACAGTGCAGCTGACAGGAGCTGAAATAAGACGGACAAAACTCAAAGCATTGCTTACTTCGCTGCTGAAGGCTGAACACTACGGGGTCAGGATCTGGTCTGGGTCTGGGTCTGGTCTGGTCCGGGTCTGGTCTGGTCCGGGTCCAGGTCTCTGCCCCCCACCCCCCCGGGAGCCCTCCTCTCCTCTCCTCTCCGCGCGGCTGAAAAACTGCAGCACGTTCGTGCTTTGTGGGAAATAAAAGACGCCTCCAAATCCAGCCCAGGGGGGGCCGGTCCGGTCCAGCCCGGGCCAAGCCAACCCCACCCGCCCACCCCGCCAGGTCAGGTCACGGGCACTGAGCCTTTGTTCAGGAGGGACGGGCAGTTCGCACCACTTGCACCTCAGTGCAGCTAATGTTAAAAATGGAAGGGTGTTCCTCTCTCCTGATCAACACCCCCCCCCCACACATACACACACACCCACCAATAACATTGGTCTCTCACTCATTTGCATTTGATATAACGCCCTATCAAGTCGTCAAGACTTCTCAAACAGCTTTACAGGATATATAGAATCATAGAATTATACAGCACAGAAGGAGGCCGTTCGGCCCATCGTGTCTGTGTCGGCTCTTTGAAAAGAGCTATCCAATTCAATCCCGTTCCCCCACGCTCTCCCCATAGGCCTGCAAACGTGTCCTCCCCAAATAATTATCTACTGTAAAGTGGAGTGACTGTGTATTTTGTGGGCAAAACGCAATAGCCAGTTGCGCAAAGCAATACCACAAACAGCCGTGGATTCAGTAACCAATTTTATTTGGGGGATTATTGCCCAGAACACGATGTCAAGAGGGCATCTCAAAGTACTTCACAGGATTTATTGTATTTTACAGGGAAACATATGATAGCCAGTCTTGCGCACAGCAATGTCCCTGCAAACAGTCACAAGGCGAATGATCAGTTTTAGTTGGGCTATTGTTGGTATTGTTGGCCGGGATACTGGGAGAAACTCCCATTCCCACAGCCTTTCCAAATTCCTGTAAGCTGTTGAATTCAGCTTTAACTTTGAAGCTGGGTTTCCTGTTGTTGTTCTTGAAAGAAATTCACTGAGATCAGACTTCAAAATTAAAAGTCCACTGAATTCTGGATGCTCCACAATGTTCCACAAACCGAGACCTGGGTGGAATTTCTGCTGCCCAGAGATCAGTTGCTCTTGCATGTACATATAAAGGTTAAAGGAACATGTTCTATTTATTAGCAGTTAGAGGCACAGCTTGTCGAAATGCAGGGAGTGGAAATCCCATTGGGAGCAGTGAGATTGTGTAATTGAAATGTGATTTCATCCATATATCTGGATCTTTCCCCCCTTTCCCACCCCCTGCTCCTTCAGGAAACAATACATTGCATCCTGGATGTGAGGACCCATGGTCACACAGTGCTGGAGAATGCCACCAATGAGAGGATCACAGTACCTTTAATCCCCCTGCCTTGGAAATGCATGTTATTTTTATGGTCTCTGAGTTCCCCCAACGACCCCCCCCCCCCCCCCCCCCACCTCCACCACCACCACCACCCTTTATCTTTCAGTTTGGACTTTCATCTTGATCCTGACTTTAATTTGGGCTTCACCACCTGATGTAGGGGAGAGGGGAGTGAAAGGCATTTATTTATTTGTTGAAGTATGAATAATAATCCTTGCATTTGATATAATGCCTGTAACAACCAACAACACCAACAATTGATATATATATGCAGTGTATTTCATGTTGGGAGCAAGTCTCAAAGCACTTCACAGAGCTGATTGGGAGATCAAACTAACGGGAGTGAGTGGCATTGGTGGAAGGTAGCCAAAAAGAGAGGTGTTAAGGTGGGTTTTGAAGGGGGGTTGGGGGAGAGGAGCAATGTAGAAGGACTCTCCAAAGGAGTTGCAGAGAGTGGGGCAAAATGTCTGAGAGCTTGACCGCCGATAGTAGATTGGGAGGTGGGCATGAAGCAGGCCCAAGGGAGCGGCTGGGGTACTAGGGCTGCAGATGCGCCACAGACGTGAAGTGGGGATGGACGAGACCATGGAGAGATTTGAAAGTGAGGCCAAGGAGCAATTAGCTCAAAACCATCTCAGAATGTCTCAAAGCATTTAATAATAATAATGATTGCATTTGATATAGGGCCGTATCACATTGTTGACACGTCTCAAAGCACTTCATAGTGTAAAATGATTGACTGTATTTTGTGGACAAAATGGGGCAGCAATGTCCCACAAACAGCCATAGAGTGAGTGGCCAATTTTACTTGGGGGATTGTTGGTCAGGACACCAGGAGAGAGACTATGTGATTGACAGCTCTTAATATAATAGTAATATTCCTTGCATTTGATATAGTGCCATGTCTCAAAGCACTTCACAGAATATACTGTCAAGTGAATTGACTGACTATATATTTGACTGTATTTGCAAGTTAATTTCTCCAATTTCTTCTCCCCCATCTTCCTTGACGCCAGTGGACACACTGTACCTATGGCTGGAAGTGTGTGTTTGAAGGGGGAGGGGCGGGCAATATTTCCATGCCTCAGCTAATGCCATTCAGCAGTCTGTTAGGAGGCACAGGAGGGTGGAATTATCCCCAAATTCTCTCTTCTCACTGTTAGGCTTCAGACCCTTGCCCAGGGCCTTTCTGACAGCTGCTTGACTTGGAAATGGTAGCAGGGTCCCATGTTAAACAAAACCCATCTCAGAGCACTTCCACTGTAGTAATGGGAATATTTTTTGGCATGTGACTAGGGGGATTATTCACTGCCTCCTGCTGTTTTTTGCGCCACATGTACCAATCCATTGTGCCTTTTGGAGACATCACCCTCTAGTGGTTGCTGACATCAAGCAGGTTGACGGAAAGAACTTGCAATTTTACAATGGCTAATCGTATCAAAACATCTCAAAACGCTTTATATTGAATACTGTCAAGTATCGTGATTGTGAATTTGCACACAACTAAACAGTGCTTTGGCACACAGCAAGTGTTTGCGCACTGGGGAAAGACAACGGGAGAAACCCCCTTCTATTTTTCAATTGTGACTTGTAATTTGAACAGGCAAATAAGATCTTGGGTTCAATTGTTTCATCTGAAAGACAGCCCTTCCCAACAATCCAGTGCCCCCTCCCAGAACAATGTGCCGAAGCATCAGTATAATAATAATCCTTGCATTGGTGGATGCTCAAAGTGCTTCACATGATTTACTGTGAAATGGATTGATTGTATTTGTAGCCAAATGCGGCATCCCAATTGCCCACAGCAATGCCCCACAAACAACCATAATAATAATAATAATAATAATCCTTGCATTTGATATAGCGCTTTTCACGTCGGGAGGACGTCCCAAAGTGCTTCACAGAATAGACTGTAAAGTGAATTGACTGTATATTTGTGGGCGAACGCGGCAGCCAATTGCGCACAGCAATGTCCCACAAACAGTCGTAGATTGAAAATGACCAATTTATTATTGTTTTTGGATTTTGGAGGGATTATTATTAGGCTCTGTGTGGAGTAAGGAAACTTGCCCAAGGTTTCACCCTGTCTGGAATTGAACTCAGGTCTCTCACTTGCAAAGCGAGTGCTCTAACCACTGAGCTACAGGACTCCACAAACCATGAAATGAATCACCAATTTTATATGGGAGATTGTTGGTCAGGACAACAGGAGAGAGAAACTCTCTTTTCTTTTTGAATAGAGCCATGGGATCTTTAAAGTCCACCTGAACAGACAGTCAGGACCCAGTTTAATGTGTCATCTGAAAGATGAGCTTCACAGTGTCAGCCTAAACAATGTGAGTTCAAGTCCTGACATGAGACTTGAGCCCACAACTTTCAGAAAAACACCCCTTACATTGTGACCCTCCGCTCTCCCATTTTCCAATGGCACGGGAAATGAACCATTAAAAAAAATCACTCCTTCATTGGTTATCTTCCTGTGGGGAATGGTGGATGGGCAGAAGAAAGTCTCAGCGGAGTAAAAACAGAGAGAGCAGCAAAAGTACCATAGGGAGAGGCAGCATCTGAAAAGGGAAAGCCAGGCTGACAATTTGGGTGTGACCCCTTCATCAGAACTGGATAGGTTCTGGCAGTTTTGCTGTTTTATTTCAAATTTTCAACACTGAAGCTTCAACTTTTGTCTGGATCCAATGGAACATGGCTTTTAAGTCAAGAATGAAATACCTATCCTTTCCTGAGCAATGCTCAAAATGACAAATAATCCTTGCATTTGATATTATATCTATTATGTCAAAACATCTCAAGAAAGTATTATTCTTGTAATAATGATTTCCCTTGATGTAACACCTTATGACATTTACGTCTGCAAAGATGTTTTATCAATGTGGTAAGGTGCTATATCAAATGAACACACTATTATCATAACCCTTCAAAGGGCCCATTGCAAGTTTCAACAGTGACAGGATTTTAGGTGAAAGAAAGCCAGCCCCGAATAAAGCATAAGTGCTGCGGACAGGCTGTGTCCTGCAGCTGTAGCTGTGTTCATCGTGGGTCACAGAAAGAAATATTATTTGTATTAACAGTAAGCTACACAGAAAGTTAGGCGCTATTTCCTCCAACTGAAACAATGTTGTTTTACCGTTTCATAAACGGGTTGGTGCACACAGTGCGTGCACACATTTCACACAGGCTTGGCGTTCCGATGAGGGAAGTGCTCATCAGTCTTTCCCTCCACCTTATGTATTTTGTTTCCTGCTGTGTTTCTCCACTTGAGTCCTTAACCTTTTGAACCCGTGGCTTTTCCTGCTTGCAACGTAAATGAAAACTCTTGTGGAGAAAGCTGGAGTGAAGGCTGCTCCCTCTCCCACCACAGGGCACTGGTGGGACCATTAAATGTTTGGGCCAATCCCATTCTTAGTGGGATTCCCATTTCCGTAGCATGGAGTCGCATAGCGTAGTGTTTAGTGTGGTCACCTCACAAGCGAGAGGACCTAGGTTTGATTCTGGGGGGGAGGGGGGCAAACCTTAGATGTGATATAGCGCCTCATCACGTTTTTGAGACATCTCAAAGTGCTTCACAGAATATATTGTAAAGTGAATTGATTGTATATTTTGTCGCGGCAGCTAATTGTGCACAGCAGTGTCCCACAAACAGTTGTCGATTGGGTGATCAATTTTTTTGAGGGAAAGGTTTATTACCCCCAGAAAGCAATTCACCAATTGACTAACCACTGGGTTCCTACTTACTGCTAGGTAAACAGAGGCGTGTGGAGTAAGGAAACTTGCCTAAGGCTTGGGAATCAAACCCTGGTCCTCTCGCTTGTGAGGCGAGTGCACGAACTATGGGACCACAAATGTACCAGCCATGTGAAGAAAGCCCCACAGGGTGCCATGAAGCAAATGACTAATTTTTCTGTCATGACAGGACACTGGGAGAAACTCCCGTGTCTTTTCGAACAGAATAATGCCAATGGGATCTTTTACATAACTCAACGGGCAGAGAGGGGCCTCTGTTTAGCATCTCCGAACACCACCTCTGACAATGCAGGGGACCCCCAGCGCTGCATGGCATTGTCGGCCTGGACTGTGAGCTGAAAGTCCCCACCTGACTGTGTTTTTGCAGGACTTTGACAATGCAGTGCAGTGACTGCGTTTTGCTGAACTTTCACAGCAACGTCTGGTGATTGTACGTTTTGTTGGTCAAATGTTAAACACATTTTTACAAAGACAAGCACACGGTGGGGCGGTGCGATTGCTCCTAAAAATCAACAGTCGGAGGGGTTTCTTCCCCCCCCCTCCTGCTCATTTTTAGGAGCAATTGCGGGGGTTAGAAACTTTTCCTCCCATTAACAACCTTTTATGAGGCTCCTTTTTGCCTGAGGACCACGTTGCCATGGCGATGTCAGGAGTGGGTGCGCATGCGTGTCCAGCTCCTCCCACCCAACACGGGCGGCTTGGGCGGGTTTCACGCCCAATTGGGCGGAGTTTTCTGCGGCACTGCGCGTGGAAAAAACGGCTTTTTTGTTTGTTTTTCTCTACTTTTAAGTCGTTTTCAAACTTTTTTCTACAGTTTCAAAAAGCACTAAGCCTGAATCGACCGCTCTGCTTGCCCATAGAGAAGGCAACTCGTAATAACCGGCTTCTTTTGCGCTGGTGATTGGGCTACAAACGTCTTTTAATTTCTGGGCAAAGCCCGTGTGTGCAGTGCGCATGTGCCAGCGTCCTGGTTGCCTTGGCGCTGGAGGTTGGGAGAGTGAGAGGAGAGTGAGTGAGTGTGAGAGAGTGAGTGAGTGTGAGAGAGTGAGTGAGTGGGGCAGAGCTGGACACACACACAGGAGGTTCTCCCTCCCCAAGCAACTGTGTGCAGAGTTATTTTATAAGAAGCAACAGCATTCAGCTCCTAATACCAAAAACTTCATCCAGTCACCAGCCCCTGGTCCCCATTGCCCCTGTGGGGTGGGGTATGACTGGGTCGTGGCTGCTTCTCTGACTGGTTTGTAAATTGTGTTGTGGACAAGTCCAGCTCGATTTGGGGAGAAACGAGGGTCTCGGCAGCTGCAGAGCATCGTCTCCTCCACCACAAACAGCAATCATGTCAAACAGGTAGGAAAACAGGGAGAGTGGGGAATCTTCCAAATGCAACCACGTTTTGGTTGTATTTGTTGTGGAATAGCAGAAATGCCCATTTTCAGTGGTTTTTTTTTGACTGTGTATTCATTCGCTCACAAAATACACAGCCGAAAACCACTTTACCGTAAAAATCGTGTGAAACGCTTTGAGACGTCTCGATGCTATACCAAATGCAAGGATTATTTTTATTATTAAAGTTCCTTTTCAAGATAATAGTTTCAGCGCCACATCAGGAGCATGTTGCTGCTTGATGTTCCAAAGGTTCTGCTTTCAGACATTGCAATTAATAATAGTATTAATGGTAATTGCGTTTAATACAGTACCTTTCACTTCGGGGCAACTGTTTTTGGATAATTCCTGTGTGAAACTTGGCTGCCCCTTTCATCTACAAAATCCACAGTTATTACACTTTACAGTGAATCTTGTGAAGCGCTTTGAGGTCACCTGTGACATACCCCAGGGCTCCATCCTTGGCCCTCTCCTCTTCCTCATCCGCATGCTCCCTCTTGGCTATGTCATCTGCAGACAAGGGGTCGACTTCCACATGGATGCGGGTGGTACATAAATCTACTTCTCTACCAGCTGCGACTCTAGGACCGTCAATGTTCTGTCAGCTTGTCTGGCCGACATCAGGGCATGAATGAGCGCAAAATGTTGCAGCTAAATGTTGACAATTCGGAAGCCATACTCCTTGGCTCCCATCAACATCTTCTGTTCTGCGGTTCTGACCTCTTCAACCTCCCAGGCCTATCCCTCAGATTCATTTAAATGGTGCGAAACCAAGGCATCACGTTTGACCCACAGCTGTCCTTCCTTCTCCACATCTGGTCCCTGACCAGGACATCTTGTCTCCACTCTGCTACATTGCCCGTCTTCGACCGTACTTTACCCTAAATGCAGCCAAAACAATCATCCATGTATTCTTCGCCTCCAGCCTCAACTATCCAAATCCCTCAGTGCTGGTCTTCCCAGCTCCAGTATCCACAAAATTGAGTTAATTCAGAACTCCCTCGCCCAAATATTCACCCGCACTAAACTCCATACCCCCATCCCACTAGTTCTATCCAAGCTCCACTTGCTTCCCACCACCGAACAGATCGATTTCAAGATCCTCACACTTGTCTTCAAATCCATTCATGCCCTGACACTTGCTACCTCTCCAACTTGCTTACTCCCCAACCCACTACCCGCTGCCTCCACTCAACAGGCTCTGGTCTCCTGCTTGTCCCTCGTGCCCTCCATTCCACAATCGGTGGCTGTGCTTTCAGCCACTACGCTCTGAAACTCTGAAACACTCTACCTCTATCCCTCCGCCTTGCCTCCTCCTTCTCCATCTTTAGATTGCGCCTGAAGACCTTCATCTTCGATTGTGTCTACTGTCACCTCCCCACTCCCCCCGGCTCGTGTTCGTGCTCCTCCACTGTCAAGTGCTCTGAGATACTACCCTGCGTGAGGGGAGCTATACAAATGCAAGTTGTTGTTGTTGAGCTTTCCTCCTGTCGTGCTGATAGACACTGTATCATATGCAAGGATTATTATTAATTTTGGACATGCGTGTACGGTCATTACAAAAAGACAAGTTAAATCGAGTTGCAGTCTATTATTGTTTATGATGAAAGTTGTTTGTAATAATTGTTTGTGGAGTCTTGTAGAATATTGGATAGAGCGCTCGCCTCTGGAGCGAGCGGACCCGGGTTCAATTCCTGGCGGGGAAAAACTTTAGGTAAGTTTCCATATTCCTTATGTAATTTGAACTGGGGATGAATGAAGACCAAGGGAAAGTAGTAAGTTCCCCGTAACCAGTTTATAAGGTGCCATGGGCTACGTTAAATGGCCTTTCGGATTGGAAGGCAACAGTTATAATTCAGGAAATGTTGCTCATGTACAAATTTTGTCATACATGAGTGAGGAAGCGAAAGAACGCTTGGTAAACTCTATGATATCCTGGAGTCCTGTAGTATATTTGTTAGAGCACGTGCCTTGCAACTGAGAGGACACGGATTCGATTCCCAGGCAAGGCGAAACCTTAGGCAAGTTTCTTTACTCCACAAGCCTCTATTTATCTAATGGTAAGTAGAAAACCTGTTGTTAATTGATTGGGAGATTATTTTCTGGGGGTAATAATCCCCAAAAATAATAATTTGGTCACTCAATCCACGACTGTTTGTGGGATATTGCTGTGCACAATTGGCTGTAGTGTTTCACCCACAAAATATACAGTCACTACACTTTACAGTATATTCTGTAAAATATTTTGAGACATCACGGCAATGTGATAAGGTGCTATACGAAATGCAACGATTATTATTGTATGTGGTGGGCAGGCTCCTGCCCCAGTGATTCAATGTTAACTATTTACCCTGGTGTTACCAAAGAAACAATGGCCCCATTGCTGTAGGGCCAAGCATAGGCTGAATAGTTGCTATAGCAGTGGGAACCACAGTTCCTTATTCCTGCAATAGACCCAACTCAGAAGCTGTAAACTTGTTTTGGTATTCACTGACTCAAGTCTGGTCCTTCATTTCATTCCTATTCCAACCAGCTGCTGGAACCTCGGTATAGACCAATCATTGTACTTTCCTCCCTTTCCCCAAAAGAGCTGGAGAGAGTCCAAAGAATAGCAACAGCAACAATTTACATTTCTATAGCGCCTTTCACCTCGGGAGATCATCTCAAAGCGCCTCACATAACCGTCAGGGCTGACTCCGAGTTTAAGAGCATAATATTATCAGAACTTTCACAGAGCTGAGTTTGTCCTCATTGAAAAACATACCGAGTCTTTCACTTGATTAGACATGGATAAAATGTAAATGTTCCTTCTATCGAAAACAAGTTTAGCTCTGGAGGCCTCACTGCCCATGTAACTTAGAGCTCTAAGGCACTAGGATCAAGAGTTCAGTCTTCCCTGAACTCTCTCCAGTGCTTCAGTTGTTTTTTTGAAGGATAAGTGCCCCAACCCCAACAACAAAATTACATTTGTAGCGCGCCTTTCACGTCGGGAGGACGTCCCAGAGCACTGAACAGTCAGGTGTTGGGACCCGAGCATGGGGGAGGGATGGTGTAGGAGTGAGGGAAGGCAGAGAGGTGGGAGGGTGACCAAAGGCATGATCGAAGAGAAGGATCTTGAGACCGGCTTTGAAGCAAGCAAGGGAGGAAGCTTCCAAATAATTCAATAAAGTAATAAAAAAGATTCAAAATAATTACAAGCTACACATTTTAATTAATAATAATCGTTTCATTTGGTATTGCACATTATCACGTTGTCTATATGTCTCAAAATACTTCACAGGATTTGATATAAAGTGTAGTGACCATGTATTTGGAGGGAAATGTGGCAGCCAATTTGCACACAGAAATGTTCCCAAAATACCCATGGAGTGTCCGATTTTATCTGGGAGATTGTTGGCCAGGACCCTGGGAGAGAGAAACTCCCTTCTCTTTTCAAATGGTGCCAGATCTTAAACGTCCACCTGCACGGGCAGACAGGCCCACAGTTTAACATTTCATCTAATGGACAAAGCCTCTGACAATACAACACTGTATTCGAGAAGTCATCCAATCCAAGGTTAGAATAAGGAGATCTGAAGATATTTCCCACTTGGCTCCTGTTAGCCTTGCACACCAAGCTCTGATGGATAGGCTTGTCCTACTGGATAAGCAGCGGGAAACTTAACAGTGCCATGCAATGATAGGTTGCACAGTTTTAGATGGTTAAACTCCAGTAGTTACCCGAATGCAAACTTGAAATCCTCCAAGCCTTGGCTCTTATCAACCTTTGCGTAAATTGTCTGTGATTATAACAGCAACTTGCATTTATATAGCGCACTTCACGCGAGGTAGTGTCCCAGAGCGCTTGACAGTGGCGGAGTATCAACAATAGGAACAGATTGCCAGGAAAGGTGGTTGAGGCCAGGAAGCTGGACTCATTTTAAAAAACAGCTTGATTGAGGGAACAGTAGGGTGGGTATTCTGGAAGGTGAGATCAGATGCGCCAAAGAGCCTTCTTCATCCAAAACAATTTTGTAATCTTGTGATTATAGTAAAACCAGCATATGTACTATCATTTTAAATCGTATAATCGCCTAAATTGGACATTCACCGGAGGCCCATTCAGTTTCTTATCAAAACCACGTAGATTTCTTTGCACTAATCGTACTAATCACACTCTAACTCATATCACCGCTCCCCCACCCTCCATTACTCCCTCACTTCCTGGCTGCCTTCAGTCAACAACAACAAAAAAATTCAAGTTGTCACAGGAAATAACATACTGACCTGTCGATGCATGCACGCTTAGTAAGTGCAAGCCGTATTGAATCACGGGAAAGGTAGTCTTGATCCACCACCACATGCGCACTTGCCGGCTGCATTGAATTACACATGTGCAGTGTAGATTGATTAAATCGTATTTTCTAGGATTATACAGTTTGTCTTCAACTCGGACTTCGCGTAAGTCATGTTAACGTTATAGTCCCGACTGATATGACTTACATGAGTTTTATTGTACTGTTGTTATCATTATTGCACATGACTCTTGTTCGTCACAGCACATATAACACAATGTGGGCCGAGACCAACATGGCCCTCCACACCCTGCTGGCACAAGAGACGGACGCAGAGGCCCAGCCGGAGAAAGATCGTGTGAAAGTTTTTAAGATGCTGGCAACCTTCTATGTTAAGTACATAGAGATTTTGCACAACATGGAAGTTCTCTATGACCAGATGGTGCATCCTCAGAAGCGGATAGTTATCTACCAGGTGCTGGTTGGGGTGATCGGCAGGATACTGGAGCTCAAGAATGAAATGGTGCAGCTAGAATACTCCGAGTTCAATTTCTTCGATGATGTCCTGCAAGATCTTAAACTGACTCCCGTAAGCATCGTGCCTGTTCACACATGGATTAAGGGATGGGAAGCAAACATTCAGTGATGGGAAGAATTTGCACGTAAATAGCAAGATTTGCTATATAAAATTGGTCACTTACTCCACGCTGTTTGTGGGACACTGCTGTGCGCAACTGTCTGCCGCGTTCTCCCGCATAATACACAGTCACTACGCTTTACAGTATATCCTGTGAAGAGCTTTGAGATGTCTTGGTGATGTGAAAAGGTGCTATATCAAATGCAAAGATTATTATTATATAGACAGGAGAATGTTTTAAACAGAGACTGACAGAAGCACAAAGAGAGAGTCTTTGAACAACAACTTGCATTAATATAGTGCACTTTGTACAGGGGATCGTCTTGGAATGCTTAAGAGTGGTGGAGATTGACGACGAGATGGGGAGAGGGGAGGAGGTGACCATAAGAGGAAGGTCTTGGATAATCTTGGCTCCTCTTCTCCACCACTAACCAGCACCTCCTCCCACCCTCTCACGCCTCGCCCAACCTCTCCTCCAAATCAAGACATCTCAAAGTACTTCACAGAATATACTCTAAAGTGAATTGACTGTATATTTTGTGGGCGAAACGTTATAGATTGAAGTGACCATTTTTTTTAAGGAATTACTACCCCCAGAAAAGCGATCCAACAATCGACTAACAACCGAGTTCATACTTACTGCTAGGTAATCAGAGACATGTGGAGTAAAGAAACTTGCCCAACATTTCGCCCTGCTGGGAATCAACCCCAGGTTTCTTGCTTGCGAGCCAAGTCCTCTAGCCACTGAGCTACAGGACTCCACATCTTGCCTATCCTCAAAAAACCTTTCCTGGACCCATCCCTGCTCTCCAACTACTACCCCATCTCCATCCTCCCTTTCCTAGGTCCCAGAATGAGTCGTTGCTTCCCAACTTCGTTCTCTCCTCTCCCGCCACTCCGTCTATGAACCCCTCCAATCAGGTTTGCCCACAGCACAGAAAAAGCCTTGATCAAAGTGACAGTTTGTCCATCTATGACCAGGGCTCTCTCCATCTCCTTGTCCTCCTTGACCTCTCCGCTGCCTTTGACACCGTTGACCACTCTATCCTCCTCCACTACCTCTCCTCTAACCTTAACCTTCATAGTTCTGTCCTTGACTGGTTCAAATCCCACCTTTCACACTATCTCCACTTTGTCTCCACAAACAGTTTACCCCCCCCAGCCACGGCATTGTCTTATGTGGCATTCCTCAGGACTCTGTCCTTTGTCCTCTTCTTCAACATGTACATGTTCCCTCTCAGTGACATCATCCGCGGACATGGAGTCAACTTCCACATGTATGCAGATTGCATACAATTCTATCTCTCTGCCTCCACCCTTGACTCCAGGACTACTGCTCTCCTGACAGAATGTCTGTCAGACATCAAGTCCTGGATGAGAGTTAACTTTCTCTAATTGAACATCAATAAGATCCAGGCCCTCCTGATTGGCTCTCATCAGCACCTCCACACCTCAGGCACTGGGAGCATCACTATCCATGGATGCACACTCTACCTCAATGAGCCAGACTGGAACCTTGGCATCTTGTTTGACCCTCAACTATCCTTTCTACTCCATATCCATGCCATGACCTTGTCTGCCTTCCCACACCTCCACAACATTGCCTGTTTTTCCCTCAGGCCACCAAAACTCTCGTTCACGCATTTATCACATCTGGGCTTAACTATGCCAAATCCCTGCTTGTTGGCCTTTCAAACTCTTCCATCCACAAGCTATAGATCATCCAGAACTCTGCAGCTCATGTCCTCTCCCGTGCCAGGCTCCGTTACCCTATTACCCCCACCCTTGCCTGGCTCCACTGGCTCCCCATCCCTCAGAGAATAGGGTTCAAAATCCTCGTCCTCACCTTTAAGATCCTCCACGGCCTTGCTCCTTCCTACATCTGTGACCTGCTAACCCTATATCAACCTATCTGCTCCCTCCGGTCAGCAGGCTCCGGCCTGCTCCACATCCCCCGCCCACACCGCCCCCCACCACCATCATCGGCGGTTGTCATCTGCAGACACGGGGTAAGAGGAGGTTGAGATGTGCCATGGAGTGAAGTGATAGAAAGAGAAAGAAGAGAGGAAGGGTTTGAGGTGCAGAGATTTAGTGAGAGAGTTCTAGAGAGCGGGGGCAAAAAGGCTGAAAGATTGACCACTTGATGGAGAAGGTGGCAGACATGGGAACAGGCCTGAGTTAGCAGAATGGAGTGAAGGGGCTGAGGGCATTGTGGAAAATAAGATCACAGGAGATTTCAGAGATAGGGTGAGGCATGGAAGTATTTCAGAAGCAGGCAGAGAGTGCTGACAGCTGACAGCTACAAGTTCGACTGCTCAGGCTGTCATTCTTCAGGCTTTTGTGATCTCTTTTGCACGACAAGGGCACAGAGAGGTTAAATATTTGGTCGGTGACCATGAATAATAGATGATGTTATTCAAGTACACGTGGGGATGGTTGTAATTGTAGCCCTTGGTTCAGTCACATTAGCAGCCAAAACAGGAGTTTATTTTAAGAAAATCTTAAATTAACTGATCATATTTCATTACATCAGGAGTCTGCAGTGTATTTATTTGCCCGTTGCCATTAAATAGCATTCCAAGGTAAAGCATGTATAGTGTAGGTCTACAAGGGGACACAGTTAACATAACACAGAGGCAACTGTTCAGTTATTTTAAAAGCAACATCCAACAATGGATATATAATAATAATAATCCTTGCATTTAACAAAGCACCGTATCACGTTGTCAAGACATCTCAAAGCGCTTCACTGGATATACTGTAAAGTGAATTAAACTGTATTATTTTGTGGGCAAAATGCAGCAGCTGGTTTGCATAGAATGGAGTGAGTGACCAATTTTATTTGGGGAACTGTTGGTCAGGACACCAAAGTCGGGCTTGATCCCACAACGTTCTGCCTCAAACCTGAACCCACAACCTTTTGCCCTCTACCAGGCTGGCCACATGACATCACAGTGAGGCTTCTTGGTAGAAAATGTTGGTGGTAGAAAATACTCAAAGGGACCATTTAAGGTAGCTGTTACGATTTCAGGAGTTGGAAAGAGAATACTTGTTTCAGAAATGAACCATGACAGATAGGAACATGGAGAGAAGAGAGCCGCATCTAGCCCATGGCTACACACTAAGCAACAAGAACAACTTGCATTTATATAGTGCGCTTTGCATAGAATAATGTCTCGGAGTGCTTTATGATAGCAGGGCTGAGACTAAGCGGGAGGCGGGAACGGTTGGGGGGATGGGGAGAAGGTGGGAGGAGGTGACACTAGGCTCAGTTTTAAGACTGGACTTAAGGCAGATAGAGAATGAGCAAGACGGAGAATTTGGGGGAGGGACTTCCAGATGTTAAAGGTATAGAATTGGAATGCTGGGCTGTTGATGGTGACACAGGTAGGGTGGAGGACATAGAACAAGTCTGAGTTAGCTGATAGGAGGAGGCGAGCAGAAGAGTGGGGCAGGAGGAGACAGGAGAGATCAGGAGGTACCGGGGGTGAGGGACTTGGTGAGAGTTAGGACATTGAAATCTATCCGCTGAGGGACAAGGAGTCAGTGGAACCTCGTGAGGACTGGGACAATGGACATATGGAGTTTGGTGTCAGAGAGGATATTCAGTACCTGTACAATGGCTGTATTATTGACTTCAGATCAGCCACTCCATCTCCTGGGGGACTGTATGGATACTCCTCAAAGATAGTGACACAAAACTCCATATTATTCATCCACCCCTACATCACAGTCTGATCTGTTACGCTTCACAAACAACATCCTGGTCCCAGAAGCACAGGGACCATTGGGTCAACCTGTAACGCCCAATAGCTTTCAGGCTCCACATCAGGACTTTGAGCATAGCGTCCAGACTGACCTTTCAGCCCAGTGCTGAGGCAGTGCTGCATTGCTCAGGTGAATGTTAAAGATCATGTAGCAATATTCAAAAGAGAAGGGAGTTTCTCCCTTCTGGTGTCTTGGCCAACAATTGTTCTGTTAAAAGCAATCATTCACTTCCTGGCTGTTTGTGGGCGCAAAGTGGCTGCCCGTTCTCACAGATACAGTCACAACATTTAAAATAATTGGTCTGAGATGTTTCAATGTTCTAGGCCATGTATGAAATGGAAGGATTCATATTATAGAATGCACCTTGTTGTGAAAGATCTCTTGACTTGCATTTCTTTTCTGACTATTCAATCTGACAGGATTGCCTGGAGATCCATATCCCCAAATGCTTCTTGATGGAGAAAGTGAAAGTGGTGAAGGACAGAGAAAATGTTCTGGCTCGGATACTGTCTGAAACCTTTCCTCACTCAGTAGAAAAAGTCAGTACTGCACAGGAAAAGGTCCACGATCACAATGTTGGTCTGGATGAAAAAGGCCCTCATCGCATCTGATCTCATCCCTCCACAACACCCACTTGAACAATCCCCCCCACCTCCCATCACATGGTTAAGATGCTTTTTAAATGGGTCCCAGTGTCCGGGTCTCAACCACCCTTCCTGGAAACCATGTTCCACTTGTTAATTACTCTTACCTCCCCCCTCCTCTCCCAACTGAACTGACTCCAAGGTGAAATGTTGGAATCGAGGCAGTCCTCTGTGGCGGTCTCAGTAATCTGGTTCCTGAGCCAGGCAGGTCAGCAGTATTTCAGGGTACTGCTGATGACAGCACAGCCAGCCTGGCTCATCGGCAGAACTTGGAAGGGCAGACCAGTCACTGGAATAGGGAATCTTCCCACTCATCTCCTGTTAACCCTGCAAGCCAAAGCGCAGGATAGTTCTAGCTGGACAAGCAGTGGGAAAGCTTGTCAGAAAGTGCTCTCAATGACAAGCTATGCAGTTTTAGTTGGTTAGACTCCAGCAATACTCTGGGGTCCCCAAACCTTGGTCTTGCCAACCTGTGCCCAATACATTTCAGAATTAAGTAAGCAGGATGCATCTCTCCAGGGAGAGAGCGGGCATTCCATTCCAACAATCTATCTCTGGAATTTCTATGTGTAGGTGTGATGCATGGAATTCTCAGTTTGGTTTGGATATTTGGTTTGCATGATGATGGGTTTCTGCATGTGATACCCACCCCCCCCCAAAAAAAACCTCTAAATAAAAATCCCCCTCTGTATAACACAGTGTTATTTCTTCAGCCTCATTTAGTATTACGTAGAGTTTACAAGATCACAAGATTGGCTTGGGTGAAGAAGGCCCTTAGGCCCAGTTGATCTCAAGGAAAATATCTCTCTCACCCCCATCCTACCATTCCCCGCACCTTCATCACTGCATCAAGTGGCTATTTAAATAAGTCGAGTGTCCTGCCCTTAACCACTGTTCCTGTTCCATTCATTAATTACTCTTGGTAAAGAAAAACTTCCTGGTGTCTGTCCTGAAAAGTTATCGTTACATAGACAAGGAGGGTGAATGAGGCCCAGTGGTCCATCAAGAGAGAATCCCCTCACTCCACCATCCCCACAAATATTGGCTAGAAATATTTTCCTGGGTATTGCCCGAGCAACAATCATGGGTCACTGGCCTCTCAGGGAATACCCAGGGAAATACTTATTGTTGTGTCAACCTGGCTTAATGGTAGCCCTTCCACCTCTGAGTCAGTTCAAGCACCACATTGGTATTTGGCCACATCGGTACTTGGAATCACATCGTCTAAACTGACACTACAACTTGGTGCTGAGAATGTGTTACATTGCCGAAGGTTCCGTCTTTCAGATGAGTCATTGAACCGAGGTCCCATCTGCTTATTCAGGTGAAAGTTAAAAATTCCATGCACTATTCAAAAAGGCAAGGAATTTCTCTCTCCCAGTGTCCTGGCCAACAATTCCCCAAATAAAAACGGTCATTCGTTCATGGCTGTTTGTGGGACATTGCTGTGTGCAATTATGCTGCCGCATTTGCCCACATATACTCAGTCACTCCATTTCACAGTAAATCCTGTGAAGCGCTTGAGACTTCCTTCCGATGTGATCAGGTGCTGTACCAAATTCAAGGATTATTATTTATATTCATCAAAAAACACTCCTGTATTTCAGAAAGAAGGCATTAGATCAATGACGTTGGAGGAAGCCATCCACATCATTCAGATTTCTGAACGAGCCCGACAGGGTCGCTTGCGCGCCAAATTTATGTGTGATATTCGCACAGAAGAGAAAAGGGAGCGACTAGCTAAACTGCACAGCGACAGCAAATGGGACACAGAATTTGCAGCCACTTATATACAAAAGGTATTTGATCTCATCTGGTTCGATTGTACATTAAATTGAAATAACAGATCCCGGGAGTGAAACACAGGCTGGAATGTCACCGCATGTCCCTCGTGCCCAGCATTCCACCATCGGTGGCTGCACTTTCAGCCACTACCCCAACCTCTATCCCTCTGCCTTGCCTCTTCCTTCCGCAATTTCAGGTCAGCCTGAAAACCTTCCCCTTTGACTGTGTCTATGGTCACCTCCCCCCGGCTTAGCGTTGTGCTCCGCAACTGTCAAGCGCTCTGGGACACTACCCTGCGTGAGGGGCGAAACCTTAGGCAAGTTTCCTTACTCCACACGCCTCTGTTAACCTTGCAGTAAGTAGAAACCCAGTTGTTAGTTGACTGACAGATTGCTTTCCGGGGGTAATAATTCCTCCAAAAAAAAATGTGGTCACTGAATCCACGACTGTGCTGCTGCATTTCTTTCACAAGACACAGTCAATCCACTTTACAATATATTCTGTGAAATGCTTTGTGATGTCTCAACAACATGAAAAGGCAAAGATTATTATTATTTAGCTGTCTGGGTGGGGTTCTAAGTGTGAGGTTGTCACACCACCTGTCTCATTATAACTGTTTCCTTTGTCAGCACTGGCATGGTTACAAGGAGAGGAAGATGGTCAAGAAGTTACGAGAGGAGGAGCTAATGTTTCTTGGAATGGTGAGTTTGGAATAGTGTGTGAATGATGTCACTCGGGGAATGAGTGTGAGCGATGTCACTCGGGGAATGAGTGTGAGCGATGTCACTCGGGGAATGAGTGTGAGCGATGTCACTCGGGGAATGAGTGTGAGCGATGTCACTCGGGGAATGAGTGTGAGCGATGTCACTCGGGGAATGAGTGTGAGTGATGTCACTCGGGGAATGTCATGGTCTTGGCTCCACAGGGTTTTGAAGTGAAGGTATTCTGCTTTCTAATGCCCTGTGTGATTTTAAATGTAAATCGCACCGAAACAGTGAGTCTGTATTTGCCTCACATTCACATTCTAACCCCACCAACAACTACCAAACTGCTGCCGTAAATACAGAATCCACCCCACTGATGTTCCACACACCTCCCTTCCTCCCAGCGTGTGGGCAGTGGTGTCTAACACGCAATATCTGTAAAGACAGAATCTCACAACTGGCCATATGCAATGACTCAGGCCAAACTCCCTCAGACACTGAACTCTTAAACAAAAACAGAAGTCACTGAGAACACTCAGCAGGTCAGGCAGCATCTATGGAGAAAGGAAAGTGAGTCAACGTTTCAGGTCAATGACCCTTCGTCAGTACTGGGGCATGTTGGGAGGGAGAGGCTTTTAAGGGCTAACAGAGAGGGAGGAGGCAGGGCAAGGAAGGTAAAGGATACAATGGGGTAGAGGACAGGGGATGATGGGTTAGAGAGGTGTTAATAATGCAAAACAATGGGGGGAAATGGCTACAAAATAGGCAGACCAGAGCGAGAAAAGGTGTGCCTGGGACCCAGATGATGTGGTAATGGTCACAGAAAAGGGGGAGGGGAGGGTGAGCTGTTAAGATCTGAAATTGTTGAAATCAACATTGAGGCCAGAGGGCTATGAGGTCGCTAGCACACAAATGAGGTGCTGTTCTTCGAGCTTGCTCTGTGGTTCATTGGAACAGTGTAGGAGACCATGGACGGAGAGGTCAGAGTGCGAGTGGGAGCCTGAAAGCCGCGCTCACTGAATTTCAGTCCAGAACGTCATTCTGTTTTTGCCTCACATTGTATCCCCATTAACAACCACTAAGCTGCTGTTGTAAATACAGAATCCACCCTGCTATTGTTCCACTCACCTCCCTGCCCCCAGCATGTGGTGTTTAAGATGCAATATCTGTAAAGACAGATAAGCACAGATGCAATGATTCAAGCCAAACTCCACTCAGACACTGAACTCTTTCCTGACTGATTCTCCCAGCGTGTGGCAGGAGGACCTCCATCCTAAATGGCATTCCCATCGGAGATCAGAGTCTGATCAGTGTTCTGGATGGTCTGTGTGAAAAAAAATCCCCAAAAATGTGGTCCCTTTAAAAACGACCATCAACACTTCTGTCCTTTAAAAACCCTCCCCGGACCCATCCCTGCTCTCAAATTACCACCCTATCTCCAACCTCCCATTCCTTTCCAAGGATCTGGAATGAGTCATTGCTTCACTCCCTTCCTACTGCCACTTCCTTCACAAACCCATCCAATTGAGTTTCTGTGCTGCCCACAGCACAGAAACAGCTTTGGTTAAAGTGACAAATATCTGTGAGACATCAAGTCCTGGATGAGAGCTAACTTTCTACAGTTGAACGTCAACAAGAGGCCTTCCTGATTGGCTTGCATTAGCGCCTCTACACCTGAGGCACTGACAGCATCACCATCCAAGGATGCATACTTCATACTTCACTGAGTCAGTCCGCATCCTTGGCATAACATAACATGTTGGAGCAGGAGTAGGCCATTCGGCCCTTCGAGCCTACCCCGCCATTCAATCATGGCTGATCTTCTAATCTAACTCCAGCTAATAACCTGACCCTGCATTATCCCCATATCCCTTAATCCCTTTAGCAATAAGAAATCTATCTATCTCAGTCTTGAATATGTTCAAGGACTGAGCGTCAATAGCCCTTTGGGTTGTGAGTTCCATACATTCACCACCCTTTGAGTGAAGATCTTGTTTGACCCTCATCTATCCTTTCTATCCCACATCTGTGATATGACCCGCTCTGCCTTCACCCACCTCCGCAACATTGCCCGGCTCTGCCACTGTCTCACACTGCTGGCCGCCGAGACCCTCATACATGCATTCATAACATCCAGGCTTGACTATGAAACTCCCTACTTGTCGGCCTCCCCAAGTCCTCCCTCCATAGGCTGCAGATCATCCAGAACTGTGCAGCTTGTGTCCTCTTCCGCACCAGGCTCCGTGATCCTATCACCCACATCCTCCCCCGACTCCACTGGCTTCCCATTACACAGAGGATACAGTTCAAGATCCTGTTCCTCACCTTCAAAGCCCCCCATGGCCTTGCTCCTCCCTACCTCTGTGACTTCCTAACCCCCTACCAGCCTGCCTGCTCCTTCCGCTCAGGAGACTCCAGTCTACTTCATGTTCCCCGCCTCACCCGCCCCACCATTGGCGGGCTGGCCTTCAGCCACTCTGCCCCCACTTTCTGGAATTCCATCCCGCGTTCCCTCCGCCTCAGCCCCTTCCTTGCCTCCTTCAAGACCCTCCTTGTCAACCATGCCTCTGATCACCCTCCTTCCCCCCCAGCCCTCCACCCTCCCCGATCCCGACCCCTAGCTCGGGTCCGAAACACAGATTGTCCAGCTCCTTGGGACATCCTCCTGATTGAAAGGTGCTATACAAATGTAATTTTGTTATTGTTCTGTGGTGTCCTATAGTGTAGTGATTAGAACATGCAAGTGAGATGGCCTGGGTTCGATTCCTGGGCTGGGTGAAACCTTAGGCAAGTTTCCTTACTCGACACGTCTCTGTTTACCAAGCAGTAAATAGGAACCCAGTTATTAGTCAAAAAAAAGGTCACTCATTCCACGACTGTTGGTGGGACACTGCTGTGCACAATTGGCTGCTGCGTTTCGCCCACAAAATACACAGTAATTACACTTTACATGATATCCTATGATGCGCTTTGAGACGTATCAATGATGATAAGGCGCTAAAACAAATACAAGGATTATTAGTATTATTATTACAGATGGTGGCTAACTCTCAGTGGATTCCTGTGGTTCTAGAAGCCTTCTCCTGATCTCCTAAAGCTCAGTGATGCTCATATTCAAGCTGAGAAAATGGCAAGCAAGCGACGCATGGTGCAGACGACTCACGAGGCAGAGTACCTGAAGGCCATCCCAGTCACCAAAAAGTCCCTGTGGGAGCAGGAAGGGACAGAAATCAAAGAGCAGATGAAGGAGCAGATCCGACAGTGGTTCATCGAGTGTCGGTGAGAGAATTTTTTGGGGTTTGGCTAGCCGTGTGTCTGACACAGTGCAGAAACCCATCACTGTGTTTAAGAGTATCCAAAGCAAATTGAGAATTCCATGCATTGCATCTACACATGGAAATTCCAGGGATAGATTGTTGGAATGGAATGCGGATTCTCTCCCTGGAGGGACTCATCCTGCTTATCTAATTCCGGAAAGTATTACGCACAGGTTGGCAAGAGCCAAAGCTTGGGGACCCCAGAGTGTCCTTTGGCGTACTGCTGGAGTCTAACCAGTTAAAACCGCATAGCTTGCCATTGATATATCTCTATCTTCCAAGCTTTCCCACTGCTTGTCCAGCGAGGACCACCCTACCTGTTAAGCCTTTGTATTTGCAGGGTTAACAGGTGCTGAGTGGGAGGATTCTCTGCTTCCAATGATTGGTCTACCCTCCAAGTTTTGCCGATGAGCCAGGCTGGCTGTGCTGTCATCAGCAATGCCCCCTGGAGTAATGCAGACCTGCCTGGCTCAGGAACTGAGATCCCCACAGAGAACTGGCTCAATTTTGACATATTGTTGCCAAACATGTCACCTGTTCAACCAGTTCAGCCAGTTCAACTCCAAGGAGACCCGCTTACATCCCCCCAAGGAGGATAGTCATCTAGGTTCACCATGCAGACTGCAAATGATAGAGGAACGAACTATGAGCAATGATGAGACAAGCTAGTACTCCTTAGTCTTGACGGAAGACAACTCGGAGGGGACCTCATGTAAGTGACTGAAGTATTAATTGGGATTGACAAAGTAAACCCAGAACAAAAGGATGCACCAAGTCAATAGAACAACAGACCATAGGTTTAGAGTTGCAAAGGGCAATTTCAGGACAGACGCTAATAAGTTTTTGTAACTCTATACCTGTGCCCTCTTTTTCGGTTGTCTCAGTGGATCCAAAGGTTTTTGTCTGCTGGCGTGTACTTGTTCATATGAAGGCACCCCCTAAGGATTCAGTGATATTGATGGATACTTGGTAATTCATTGTTATATATGAACATTATCCAGACAGTGGGAGCAAAAAGTATAACTTGATTACTATGGAATTGCAATTATCCACCATTATCGTTAAATAATTTCACTGGGCCCCTAAACTCCTCTCCCACTGGGATGCTATCATTTTTACCTAATATAATAATTCATGCAGTTGATTTAGTGACTTATTACATTGTCAAGACATCTCAAAACGCTTCACAGGATTTTATTGTAAAGTGTAATGACTGTGTGTTTTGTAATCGAAAGCTGCCGCCAATTTGCACACAGCAACTCACAAACAGCCATGAAATGAATGACTAATTTTTATCTGGCGCATTGTTGGCCTGGATAGGAGGGAGAGAGAAACTCCCTTCTCTGTTTGAATAGTGTCATGGGGATCTTTAATGTCCACCTGAACTGATGCCAACAGATTCAGCTTTTATTCATATTCAAGAGCAAAATTTAATAATATAATAATCCTTGCATTTGATATAATGCCTTATCACATTATTGAGATGTCTCAAAGCACTTCACAGAATATATTGTAAAGCGAATTGACTGTATTTTTTGGACAAAATTAAATTAAACGGAAGTTAATGAACGTTCCAAAAAGAAGCATCAATTTATTTTTGGAGATTTTGCCACAAAAATTGCAACTTGCCACCAGAGCTCCCTAATGCAAGCTGTGCTCCACTGGCTTAATTTTTAGCTACTTAGCAGTTAATAATTCCTAAACCGTATGAACCCTGTACTGTAATTGTGCTTTTATTTTTAAATGCAAGTTTAATTGAATTACGTAGCAGACATTGGCAGGCACTTCAAGACAATATTGAGGTTTAACTCTAGTTTATGTGTCAGCCATGTGCAACATGGAGTTCCGAAGTGTAGTGGTTTGCGTGCTCACCTCTCAAGCCAGAGGACCTGGGTTCGATTCTCAGGCAGGGCAAAACCTTAGGCAATTAATTTCTTCACACGCTTCTGTTTACCTAGCAATAAGCAGGAACCCGGGGGTTAGTCGATTGATGGATCGCTTTCCGGGGGTAATAAAAAAAATTAGTCACTCAATCCAAGAATGTTTGTGAGACACTGCTGTGCGCAATTAGTTGCTGCGTTTCGTCCACACAATACAAAATACAGAGTCCACCCACTTTACAATATATTTAGTGAAGCGCTTTGAGATGTCTCATCAACGTCATAATGTGCTATATCAATGCAAGGATTATTATTATAAAGTGACTTGGTGAGTTGGTTGCTCCAGGGTTGCACAGGTTGGAAGGTCACATTCAAAACTTTTTACCTGAAATGCTTCACAAATAACATTCATCTCAGGAAAGCGGCGTTTAACAGGATTCCTCAACAAGAAATGCAAGTGAACTCCTCACGGTGACAACAGCAACTTCCATTTAAATAGTGCCCCTCAATTCCTTTGCAATTCAATTCCTTTGCAAGCGAGAGACCTGGGTTCAATTCCTGGCAGGGTGAAACCTTGGGCAAGTTTCCTTACTCCACACACCTGATAATAATCCCTCAAAAAAAAATTGGTCACTTCAATCCAAGACTGTATGTGGGGCACTGCTGTGTGCAATTGGCTGCCTCGTTTCGCCCACAAATATACAGTCAATTCACTTTACAGTATATTCTGTGAAGCGCTTTGAGACGTCTAGAAAACATGAAAAGGGCTCTATCAAATGCAAGGATTATTATTATTCACACAAGGTAGCATCCCAGAGCACTTTACAGCAGCAGAGCACGATGCCGATCCGGGGTCTGAGGGGGAAGGTAACCGTAGACACGGTCTTAGAGGAATGTCTTCAGGCACGACCTGAAGATGGGGAAGGAAGGGGCAAGGTGGAAGGCTGAAGGAAGAGTGTTCCAGAGTTTCGGGCATAGTGGCTGAAAGCATGGCTGAAAATGGTGGAACGGAGGGCACGAGTGACATGCAGAAGGCCGGAGACAATTGAGTGGAGGCAGCAGGTTGTGGGGTAAGCAGGTCGGACAGGTAGGGAGGTGCAGACCATGAAGGGCTTTGAAAACGAGTGTGAGTATCTTGATATCAATCTGTTTGGCGTTAGGGAGCCAGTGGAGCTTGGCTAGAACTGGTGTGATGGGGGTAACAGAGCTGGTGTGATGGGGGTGCAGATGAGTATGCAGGTGGTGGAGTTTTGGATCAGCTGGATCCTGCGTGGTGGAGCTGGGAATACCGGCAAAGAGGACATTTGAAAATTCGAGTCGTGAGGTGATGAACACATGGAGTGTTTCGGCTGCGTCTGGGGTAAGGTATGGTCAGAAATACAGCACACTGACTCCCCAAAATTCTACTGTGAAAGTAAATTGCATCACAGTAATAATAATCTTCATAATAATAATCCTTACATTTGATACAGCACCCTTCATGTCAGGAGGACATCTCAAAACACTTAATAGTATATACTGTAAGGTGCAGTCACTGGGCATATTGCAGCCAAATACAGCAGCCAATTTGCGCACACCAGCATTCCACAAACAGCCGTAGAGGGAGTGACCAATTTTTTATGTGGGGACTTATTGGCCAGAACACTGGGAGAAACTCTTTTTTCTTTTCGAATAGTGCCATGGAATCTTTAACGCCCACCTGAACAGGCAGACGGCACCTTGGTTTTACATCTCATCCAATTAACAGCACCTCCAACAATGCAGCAACTCCCCAGCACTGCATTGGAGTGTTGGCATAGACTATGTGGATCCAAGTCCCGATTTATGGCTTGAACCCACAGCTTTGTGACTCAAAGACGCGAGTGTGATCACCTGAACCAGGATGACACAATTTTCTCTAGGGAGAAAGCATCAATATGTTGACTGGTCGAACCTCAAGTCTCCACTGCTCCAATTCCTTATTAAGGAATCCTTTTTGAAACACCACATTTTAAGCCTGCAGTGAAATCTCCTGAGATGCATGAAATTTCGGACAGTGTGACCTTTCAACCCGTATGTTCCTGTAGCAAAAGAGTAGCCAAGATTCTTTGAGCAAAGCCTGGGAATTCTCAAAATAAAAGGCTCTGACCTGTCCTGAAATGGTATCATTCAGTGCAGGCAGCAAGAAACCCAATCACCAATCTGTTTGTTCAGCTGGGTGTTTGATTCGAAAACTCATCACCATCCATTCTGTAGCCAAACTAAAATGAGAGTTCCATGTATGTATGCCAGCTACGCATGGGAAATTCTGTGTCTGGAATGGAATGTGCATTCCCAGTGTCTGGAAGGACCCACCTTTCTTATCTGCTTATCGGTAGAGTATTAGTCTCAGGTTAGCAAGAGCCAAGGCTTGGGTGTGCGTGCTGGGTGTGTGCTGGGATGACTGCAGAAGTTTAACCAGCTAGGGTGTGTGCTGGGATGACTGCAGGAGTTTAACCAGTTAAAACCACACAGCTTGCCATTGAAAATACTGACCACCATGTGGCTCAGAAGTTAGTGCAGTACAGTTTGTTACTCTTCAGTTACTGAAGATCTGCGAAGGAAAGAATAGCTTGTTCTATCATGCTATGGCCATGTAGGAGATCATATAAAGGTGCACTAAAGAGCCTGATTATCCGCAGTGATTGGATAAGCCATTAGTGTGGATAACGACATGCAAAATACGAAATTACTGCTGTGCTGAGAAATAATTTAATCATAATTATATACTGTATGGGTAGTGCCAGAGTGTGTTAACTTCTCTCTCTCTCTCTGTCTTAGCTTTTAAGAGAGAACTGGATAGGTATCTGGGGAAGACAGGTTTGCAGGGTTATGGGAAGAAAGCTGGTGATTGGGGTTAGTGAAAGTGACTTGCTCTGTCAAAGAGCCGGCACAGACTCCTTCTGTGCTGTAACATTCTATGAATCTTTCTCTGTCTCTCTCACTGTGTTCCTGAGCCTGACTTTCATCCTGTAAAAGTACTGTGTAAGACGTACCTTTGTGAGACTGGTATTTGCTCTATCAGGGGAAAATCATGCATGTGATTGTTAAGAATTACCAGACT